GGCTACCCGGTTGGTTGGCCAAGCGTTGGTTTTTCAATACGTAAATTGTCTAAACTGTTTTTTTTAAGTGATAGTTAAGTTTTATTCTACACCGTACGTTCTTTCTCAAAAATTGAACACTTTTCTATAGGGAGTGCGCCGAAACACACCTCGGGTTTCAATAGGGTTAGACTTGACTTGATTATTTGTCAATGTCCATCATGCCTTTAGTTACAAAGGGTATGGGCCGATTTCGACTGTTTAAGTTGTATATAAATGCACGGAAGCAGAAGTTTTGAATTGTCTCGATGAAACAGAAGAGCAAAAAATAAAATAAAAAAATGAATTGGTATATCTGGCAGGAACCAAACCAAATTCGAACCGCCCGGGCCGCCCGTCCTGCCGCCGCATCATTGTTACTTTCGGGGCACTGTTCGCCACTGATCGTCGACTCGCGGGCAGGAAAGGAAGGAACGCGGCACCGTTGGGCACTCACAGCTGCTGAGGGGTCTGAGAACCGGCCACTGTTGCTCCATGTGTGCTCCGAGAGCAAGAGGTGCGCAGTGCGCTCGATCGCCCGTGGAATCTGGTCCACTGTAGAGTACTCTCCACTGTGCGAGCCCCAACCTTGCAACGAACTCGAACCGTCCACGGCCGGGTACGAACCGTGAACTGGGGCGGCGGAGGGAGCGGCCAGCTGCCGCCGTCCGGCGTCTCCGACCGGCGTGCAGTACGCCAGGACACGCTCCTCACGCACGCACCGGCTTGGACGGCCGGACGGACACGCGTGCGGCGCCGTGCCGTGGGCTAGGCAGTGGTAGGAGGCTCAGAACCGTAGGCTACACGAAGGTGTAGACCCGGGGCCGGCCGCAGTCCTCCGTGCTGTGCTGTGCGTGTAGCTCGCTCGGTGGCCGTACGCCCTTGTCAGACTAGTAGGGGAGGACCAGACCAGACTGTATGTAGGCTGCTGCTGCGTGCTCCCTGCACTATACTGTACTGTACCGGTCCCTCTCTCCACTCCATATGAATGAATTTACTCGTATTGCCACATCCGTAGGGCAACGTGATGCGCAGCGCGGCATGCCATGCAACAATCTTCTTCCCCACTCTTTCCTGCTTTTCTGCTCCTGTCCTCTTTACTCCTACAACTCCAATCTGCCTGCAGCCTTTTGGATCCCCGATCTCTTCCTTGTTTTGCTCAAACTCAAACCAACGCACACCGCACCACCGCACCCCTATTGGCTATGTGAGCTGTGGTCTGTGATGTGAGTATAGTCTCAAATTCAATGACAACGTATTATCAGATTAAAAAAAGGTATATGCCAATGCAGCTTTATATTTCGAAAATGCTATACGGTGAACGTCGGATTTCTTTCAAGTCCAGTGAGTTCCCTAGTGAACTAGTACCTTTTGACCATTGGGCGAAAAACATGGATCCTTAAGCAGCCCTAGTGGCCACGCCAGAAAAACAAAAACGTTCCATGGTTATGTCTATAGCGAACGCGGGAGAGGTGTCCAACGACCGCAGCCCCCATCGTCAACCGTGCTCTGGCCTCTCCCACCTTCTCCTCTGTTCGGTCTTCCTCAACTCACTATAACCCTGCCACCACCGTTCCCGTGCCTCATTGTCTGGATCTGTGTCCCCACCTTGCCAACATCACTATTCTTCAGCCGCCGCCACCCGCAAAGCTCCTCTAGACGCCACCCCCTCAACGCAATGTGCCCGACCAGCGGGCCTCCAACTACTGCATGCTGGCAAGCTACTTGCCGGAGAGCACAAGCTTCTGCGCCCATCACCAGGGGCGGAATCACATGGGGTCAAATGTGTCCATCTGTACACCCAAATGTTTTGGCAGGAAATTTTATACTCCCTCCATTCCACAATGTAGTGCTTCCTCTATCTACGTGCTTCAACTTTGACCGTAAATTTAACTACCAAGACCGATTGCGGCGGGAGCAAAAATTATATCAGTGAATTCGTATTCGAAAGAAGTTTTCAATTATATAATTTTTTCTTCCGCCGCAGTTGGTCTTGTTGGTTAAATTTACGGTCAAAGTTGAACCTCGGGAAGCGCGGGCGCACTATATTTTGGAATGGAGGGAGTATATGATTTATACAAGATGCATGTGTAAAAATGGTGTGGTTTGTGCAATGAACATCATGTCATTTCAAATAAACTGGTCTCAAATCTTCGGTCCAACAATACTGTCATTATTCTTTGAAAAAAATCTTACTGGCCACATGAACCTTTTAGATACTATAGTGCAAAAAAAAAAATCAACACCCAATTTTCAAATCCTGGATCCGCCACTGCCCATCATAGATTAGGTACATCGTGGTTCTCCTCTTTTTTGTCTTTTACTCCCTCCATTCCACAATGTAGTGCTTCCTCTATCCCCGTGCTTCAACTTTGACCGTAAATTTAACTAACAAGACCGATTGCTGCGGGAGCAAAAGTTATATCAGTGAATTCGTATTCAAAAGAAGTTTTTAATTATGTAACTTTTTCTCTCGCCGCAATCGGTCTCGTTCGTTAAATTTATGGTCAAAGTTCGACCTCGGGAGGCGCGGACATACTATATTTTGGAACGGAGGGAGTATAGAACATGCAACTCTTCCGACATGTATTTATAGTACACATTTTGTTTGCAATGCTTCAAATGCAATTTCACTAGACTTGTTGTGTAACACCAATAATGTTTTGTGTATAATCATGCCATGTTATGAAAATGCGAGAATCGTCCATGGCAATTTATCCATGAACTATTCAAAAAAGACATGACATTTTGTTAATTACGAGCGTGATAAATTTTACTAGGCGACATGGCAAAATTCAGAACATGGCATTTTTATATTGTTTTTGCCATGGCAGTTTCTACATGATAGTTTTTCGAAAACATGGCATTTTTTTAGTTAGCGGCATGGCACTTTCCACTACCGTGTCTCTAAATCCTTGTGTTTTTCGTTGACATAGCAAAAAAAAGTTTTTTCTTGCCATGGCAGCTCCATGATTATTGTGCCAGAGTGTATATATCCTTTTAGGTCTAAATTAGCAAGATGCCCGTGCGTTGCACGTAACATCAAGATCCATTTGTATGACTAGTTTATCTTGTGAGAGAAAAGGATGGACGAGGGAAGGGCTTATTTACAAATGTGGAGAGGTGTATGGGTACCTTTTTGCAAAATTGCCATAGTTTCCTTCCTATCCGTCAGATATAAATCGGACGACCTATATTGCAGGATGGCAGGCACACCATCATCTCCAACTCTGTTTTTTATAAGAGTGTAGATAGCGTGAATGATTTGGAAACATTTTGCATCACGTTTTTTTGTATGACTATTTTTTGAATAGCTCACATGGCAATTTTGTTTTTTCTCGGTATGTAATCACCACAAACATTGTCCTCATGTTGACTCATGCTATTTTTGACCTGAGCAATTTTGTTATAGGCATCATTGCATTTTTAGTATTGATAACATGGTAGTTTTTTAGGTATCATCGCATTTTTTTGTTATAGGATGGCATTTTTTTATAATAGACTATCAACATGTGTCAACCATGGCAATTTTAATTTCAATAACATGTATTTATCATAGCAAATCAGAATGTGTCCCCATGGGAAAAAAGTAGAAACCATGTCATTTTTTGTACAGACCATGACAATTATAATGTATATTCCATGGCAAATCAACATGTGTCCACATGTCAAATTATATTTGCGTGTATAACCCATGACATTTTTTTGTGGGCAACCATGGCATTTATAATGTATATGAAATGGCAAAACAACATGTGTCCCCATGGCATTTGTTATTATTATTTTGTGTATAATCCATGGCATTTTTTACTTGACAATTTTTTATGGCAATTTTTTGTGTTAATGGATGGCATTTTTAAAAAAATAGACGATGCAATTTGAACTTTTTCCATGGCAAAATTATTTATTTTAGATCATGGTAATTTCTCTTAGTTACACCATGGCTTTTTTATTTATTAGGTCATGAGAGCAGCAAGTTTATACAATTTGCTGGATTGACCTTCAGGAACGATTAGTTAGCTGGAGTCTCCTCCCGACATTAGGGTCCTTAATTTTTTGCGTTGTTACTCCCTCCGTCCTGAATTATTTGTCGTCCATTGGAGCATGTAATTCGGGACGGAGGGAGTATTATTTGACCCTCATTTTTTTCTTTTTGAAACAAAAGCCATGCACCACATCCATCTGAACCGAGTAGAGTGGGAGCATGTACACATACTGCGCATATATAATATTAATAACCCATTGGGCATAGCTTTTTCTCTCTCTTTTTGTACCGTAGCCATCTTTTTCCATCGGAAAGAACTCCGAAGCCACCGTCCCCGTCTCTCTTTCCTAGTACTCCCTCCGTTCTAAAGAGCAGTGCTATACACACGATAGTGGCGGACGATGTGTGCACGACAATGCAATCAGCTCCGTCCATTGCATGGCAACAGCAGACAGCGGGCCGCTAGATGCTTATCGTGCAGTGGTCGTGCGCATATTTGTCGTCTGCGAAGCAGTTCCGCGTTCTAAATTATTTGTCGCTCAAATGGATGTATCTAGCACTAAAATAGTGTTAGATTCATTCACTTGAGCGACAAGTAATTCAGAACGGAGGGAGTACAAAACTAGACAAACCCAGAGCACAGGCACAGCCCACACGCAACACGCAGCACACTGTCCCCTCTTCCTCCTCGTCTCTCCTTTTCTCGACGCCTCGGGATGCCCCGGCGCAGCGCAGCGCAGCACTGAGCTGGCCTTTGCGTAGGAATGTCTCGGCCTGCCGCGGGCTCCGTCTCTGCGCAGCGAAACTCACATTTATTTGCCACCTAAAAGGGGCACGCCTCCCCACCCCAGCTTCAATTCCCGGCCAGCCGCATCGAGAAGCGCAGAGGAGGTCGCCCGCTCGCGACACCACCAATGGCGGCTATATAGCCAGTAGGGCAGGCAGACTGGAGGGGGAACAGAGGTTCTTGTTTGTTTTCTTGCGGAGAAGTACCGTGATGGGTCGTGCTCGCGGCGGAAGGCTGCTCCCTGTCCTCGCCGCGCTGTTCGTGGCGCTGCTCCTCATCTCCGGCTGCGCGGCGGAAGGGGAGGACGAGGAGGGCTCGCCGGTGGTGGCGGCGGAGGAGCCGGAGGCGCCGATGGAGGACAAGCAGAAGGCGGCCCTGTACGCTGCCATCGGGAGCTTCGTCGGCAAGGCGTGGAACGGCTCCGGCCTCTTCCCCGACCCCTGCGGCCAGACTCCCATCCAGGTTCGTCTTCTTGTTCGTCTCCCCCACAGCTAGCTCCTTCTCTTTACTCAGCGTCTTCGCTTCTTGATTTATTCCTGGGAAATGTTAGAGCAATGGAGGATTCGAAAACACCAAAAATTGCCCCTTTTCATGGATTTATACAGTCAAATCTTTCCTGTTCTGCACTACATTGTCTTGAGATTCACAGCAAATCGCTGCAGAAAGGATCCCGATTTTTTGCACATCCATCCAATTAGTTGTCTTATCTTGGGAATGCACAGTGAGATGCTCCGAGCACGCGTTCCTCAAACATGCTTTTTCTCGCCAAAATCTCGTCAAATTCTCAGCACTGTTCTTGTGTGCAACCTCTGTTTCCTGCTTTTACACACGCAGCAGCAGCTCTCTCACTGTTTGCTCCATTGTTTCTCGACTGTTTCTCCTCGGGGAACGCAAGATTTACTACTAGTACTCCACTGCTGGACGAGTGAGACGAATCCTCTGTTCCTCAACCTACCTACGGCCTCCCGATTCTTGCCTAATTTGGGAGCTTTTTTTTATCTCTTGCGCGTAACAACTTTCTTTCCCCGCACATGATAGGAATCTGTGATTTGAAATGTCAATGTATTCTTAAACGCATCCCATTTCGTCCTTCCTTTTCCATGTCTCTGTCCTCTTGCTCTTTTGCTTTGCCCGAAGAATTATTGGTACCAAGTACTAGTGCTACTTTTTTTACTTTCACCGATTTAACACTTGTTACCTTCATATACAGTTAGTTGGTTTAACCTGGTTTACATCTGCTGGGAATTATTTACAGTCTCAGTTGTACTACCAGAATCACATTTTGAGTGAGACATTTGGTTATTGGATCCAAATTTGTTACTAGTAATACTTCTCAATTTGCCTGCAATTTTACTGAGTGATGATCTGGCATTCAATTTTACTGAATTCGATATTCAAATTCAGTGCAATAATTGGTTCTTGGACCCCCATTCTGTTGTTTTCTGCAGGGGGTGTCATGTGACCTCTTCAATGGCGTGTGGTACCCAACGGTGGTCAGCATCGGTCCGGTGCTCGACAACTCGCTGCAGTGCGCCCCGGACGCAAGGTTCAGCCCCCAGCTGTTCGACCTCCGGCGCCTCAAGAGCCTCACCTTCTACGCCTGCTTCCCGGCGGCCAACCCCACGACGATCCCGGCCGCTAGCTGGGACAAGCTCTCCGGCACCCTCGAGACGCTCGAGTTCCGCTCGAACCCGGGCCTGTCCGGCGCCATCCCGGCGTCCCTCGGCCGCCTGGCCAGCCTGCGGTCCCTGGTCCTCGTCGACAACAACCTCACCGGCGCCGTGCCGTCGGAGCTCGGCGGGCTGGCGAAGCTGCGGCGGCTCGTGCTGTCCGGGAACGGGCTGTCGGGCCCGGTGCCGGCGACGCTCGGTAACAACAACCCCCAACTACGCCGCCTCGACAACGAGCAGCTGCTGATCGTGGACATGAGCAAGAACTCTCTAACCGGGTCTCTGCCTCCGTCGCTAGGTGGGCTCAAGGGGCTGCTCAAGATGGACCTCAGCAACAACCGCCTCGACGGCCGCGTCCCGCCGGAGCTCGCCGGCCTCGAGAGCCTCACGCTGCTCGACCTCCGGAACAACAGCCTCACCGGCGGGCTCCCCGAGTTCGTGCTGGGCATGCCGGCGCTGCAGGACCTGCTGCTCTCGAGCAACCCGCTGCTGGGAGGCACCCTGATGCAGCGCGGCTGGGAGAAGATGGCGAGCCTGGCCACGCTGGACCTGTCCAACGTCGGCCTCGCCGGCGCCATCCCGGAGTCCATGGCGGCGATGCCCAGGCTGCGGTTCCTGGCGCTGGACCACAACCGGCTCTCCGGCGCCGTGCCGGCCAAGCTGGCCGCGCTGCCGAGCATCGGGGCCATGTACCTCAACGGCAACAACCTGACGGGCGCGCTGGAGTTCTCGGCCCGGTTCTACCAGAGGATGGGCAGCAGGTTCGCCTCCTGGGACAACCCTGGATTGTGCACGGCGGAGACGGCCGGCGGCGCGCCGACCGGCGTGGCCGTGTGCAAGGACGCGCAGGAACCGCCTCGCGTCGGCGTGAGGGACGGGATGGATGCGGGTGGGGGGAAGCCTGAGGCGAGCTCGAGCTTCCCGGCGTCCTCGTCGTCGTTTGGCCTCTCGGGTCACAAGGTCGCCGGCCTCTGGTGCTTGGTGATGGTGATGGTGTTGTAGGCGGCAGCAAGTTCAGATTTACTGATAGCTGCAAAGGAGGAGACGACGAAGAAACTTATATAGTTAATTAGGCCGATTTGTTTCGATGGTGTCCTTCTCTTTTGGCATTTTGGCTGGTGCTCTGCTCTGCTCTGCTCTGTCTACTAGGGTGAAGGAGGAAGAACAGAGGCATGAGGAGTCTTAAGTGGTTGCTGACAGACAGGTAGTTTGTTCTTCTGGTTGTAATTAGGCCTGTTTCTGTGTCAAGTTAGAGGATGTGAATATATGCAAAAAAAGGTTGACAGCCCTAATCATCTACAATGATGGATTTTCTATTAAGATAATAACCCTCTATAATTATGTTTTTTTAGCACATGTGTGGATTACTTTGGTTGTTGATGAGTTTGTCACTCATGCATGTTTAAATGGATTTTTTTTTTCACTTTAGCCATATGCAAGTCGTCTGGTTTTTAAATTTGAGTAAGTTGATTTCCTGACCGTCAGTTTTTTGTCAAGGTTTGTACCTTGTTTTGTTTGTATTATTCCACTATTAAATGCATATTCTTGTATATTTCAGAAACGAGCAATTTTGTGTGCAATTTTTTCATTGTTTGTTTGCTTTTTTTTCATCTTCTTTCTTCTCTTAAAGTTTAACACTAATGACGCAAATTCATTTTCCCTTAGAAAATCTCATTATTTAAAAAAATAGTTTTTATTTCATTTTATTTCTACTTAAAGGGTAGTACCAAACCACTGTCTCATTATTTCTCTGAAAACTATATTATTTTGCTTTTGTTTTTTATTTTTTTTTCATTTTCTTTCTTCTTTAATGGTATTACCAATGCCACCAATTGATTCCTTGGGAAATTTCATTTTCTTTGAAAATTCCACTATTATATACTTATTCATGCATATTTCCGATAAGCACAATTTCTATGTAATTTTTTTGCAATTATTTGTCGATTAGTGTTTATTTATTTTCTTTATATTTAAAGGGCTATACCAAAATACTAATTCATTATTTCTTAGAAATTTTTGCTAGTTTGATTTTGTTTTAGTTTTTATTTCTTTTTCTTTTTTTAACTGTATTGCCAATGACACCAGTTAATTCCTTAGGAACTTTCTTTTTTTTGTGAAAAATCCACCATTATATGCTTGTTCTTTCATATTATTAAAAAGCACAATTTCTATGTAAATTTTGTGCAAATTTTTCCATTATTATTTTTATTATTTTCATTTTATTTCTTTCTTTCTTTCTTTCTTTCTAAAGGGCAATACCAATGCGAAAATGTTGTTTGGAGGCCGAGCTTCATGGTGCTCTTTATCCTGCATGTCAATCTTTGTGGCTGTCAGGTGCGGCCCCTGTATTACTGTCGCGTATTTCATCCTCCAGCTGTAATTTTGATTTCATTTTTTATTAAAAAAAATTTCTTTTGATGGTAATAGCAATATCACTAATTCATTCATTCTTAGGAAACTTTTTTTTCTAAAATTCTACAGTTTTGTACTTGTTTTTTACATTATAACAACACACATTTTTGTGTAAATTGTGTGAAAATTGAGTTGCTTGCATGAGATGTAAGAATCCCTCACATAAGGTTTTTCTGTCATCTTTACCTAGGTAAAGGAGGAAAAGTGGTACATGTTTTTTTGGTTAATCTACTATATGTTAAAGTCAACTCCCTCCGTTTCAAAATAGATGACTCAACTTTGTACTAACTTTAGTACAATGTTTACTTAATTTCTTTGACGCACTTCACAAATATGTAAGGTTTGCCTGTCATCTTTACCTAGGTAAAGGAGGAAAAGTGTTACATGTTTTTTTTGCGAACGTACTATATGTTAAAGTCTAGTAGTATCTAATATTGATCTATTCTGCCTCTAGAATTATGGATTCCATAAAATTATTTAATCCAACAATGCAATTATGAAGTACAATCATTGTATTTAGTAGTATTTGTATTTATTTGTATTTATTCAACTTCTTCGATGTATGTTAATAAGACAATGTTGAAGGCCGGCATTGGAGATTTTGAGTTTGTGTAAATCTAAAAAATAGTTCACTTTTGTAAGTTATGTTATGTACTTCTAATAACATATGTATGTCCGATTCTTTGTCCATACATGCTTATTTGCAAGTCTTCTTTCTATTTGTATAAAACAGAGGACATTTTTGCACATTACTTGATGGTTAAAACTTTAGCACATAATATAATTTGTTGCCCATGATAAACTTCGATGTCGAGACATTTCCATTATGGTGGTGTTCAGTTACAAGTATAGCTTTAGCATCCTAGGTCACATCTTTTTTTCGTATGACTAGAGTTTAGGTAAATTCTTTTATATAATTTACCATTATAAAACTAACCCGTATCACATTGCTAAAATTATGATTCTCCATATATGTTTGATTCCACATGGACAAGCTTATGTCAATAAACATTCGAGCTATTGGTAAACAGAACACATTGGACCTTGCATTTGTCGTTGTGATGGATTGTAATACTCCTGTTTGTCTAATCCCTTCTTCTTATGTTTTTGTGTTTTTGACTCACGTGTTCATACTTTTATGTCTAATTTTCTACAACTAACTATGAAATATCCACACCACATCAAAGTTTATCAACCGCAAACAGAGCCTAATAGAAAACAACAGAGCTTCAAATTTATGTAGTAGTAACAATGAATACATTTTTCTTCGTACATATTTTCCAATAAAAAATGTACGAGCTCGATCAAAGTATTTGATGAAATTTTACTATGAATAACTATGCATAATCCTTCCCGTGTAGGTGCACTGGTTGATGTGTAATTTTCTACAACTATATTGAGTGTTGCGGACTTAAGAATAAAAAAAGAAGGACAGACGTTTAAAGACATTGTTGCATATCACTGTCTGTGGACTGGTTCGGATCAGTTCACAAATAAATAGTGTGTCTGTTTTTAGGGTTGGGGGGAATTGGGATACACTAATGTAACGATCTTGGTTGCATTTGGCAAGTAGTAAAAAATAAATTGTTGCAATGATAGGTAATTCCTCGTACCACTACATTTTTTTAGCGGTAAAAGCAGCAATGAGCACTTGGTCAGTAGAAAATCGTGTTGATGCGCACTTGGTCAGCAGCATCTACTCCATGGATGGATGGATGGACTGCACAGCAATGTCTCTGTTTGTTTTGTTTTGTTTTGCACGCACCACCGGGCACCGGGAAAGGCCAGGGTAGGATCGACGAGCACCGGGGAGGAGCAAGCAGCGGCAGACTGCGCGTGCCTCGCTGTTGATCCGCAAAGGAGCGGAATCACTGGCGAGGCGGATGGCATCGCTGCCTCGATGCCTTGAGGTCCGCCACCGCCAGCGTTGTCTCTTGTGTGCACACCCAGCAGCAGCACAGTGCTGCTGGTAGCCTGGACCGGTTTGTATGTAGCCTGCTGCGTGGACGGCATGGCGACGCAGCTCACAGGACAGACACAGAGTAGCCACTCCAGCTAGCACATGACAGGCCATGAATGTCTCTGCCCGCCTGCCCCACGGCTCGTCGTCGTAGGCTGGCAGTTGCGGTGGCAGCTCCGGCTCGGCGTTCACTCTACGGAGCCAGGCTACACGCTACGCACTACAGTCTACTGTATCTCAATCCTACCCATTTCGCTGTTCAAATGTAGTAGGCTGGCAGTAGCGCACACTTTAAGTTTAAGCAGTTTGTTTCATTTCGCTGTTCAAATGTCACCCATTCTTCCATATTACTAACTCTGTCATACACCTCATATCTGGCTCTCAAAAAACAAAACCTCAAATATCTGCTGTTGATATGAACGGAGTGTTTGCTTGTTGTGCTGTAGAAACATATCGTGTACTGACAGGCATTGGCAACATATTTGCAAGGACGAGTATTTTCGACGACTAGCCTTCTGAATAGTGATGATCTTGACGGCACATTCAAATTGTTACGAGTCACGCAATCCAAAGTGTGAATGCCAAATTCGTAGATCCTCCAATGCAACTCCCTCTAGAACGTGATGGATTATGGATGGACCCATATCTCTACTTTTAATGGACGAATTGGTTGAATAGTCCCCCCCACTTTCAACCGGTTTATTTTCAACCGGTTTTTCTTCGTCCCACCTCCCACCAGCCCCTCCCACCGGTTTTTCTCTTTTCTCGTCTGACCGGCAATACCCAACGTATTTATGGTAATCAATCATAATTAATCCAGGTATAGTAATAAATCAATCCAGGTATGATAAGGTCATCACTCAGGAAATTTTGAATACGGTAATTATATGGTAATAAATGTAAATTACCACAAAGGCTATCAATCCAGGTATGGTAAGGCCATAACTCGGGAAATATCGAATATGGTAATAAATTTAAATTACCACCAGGTATGGTAAGACTATCCACGTATAGTAATAAATCATAATTAATCCACGTATAGTAATAAATCAATCCAGGTATGGTAAGGTCATAACTCAGGAAATTTTGAATATGGTAATTATATGGTAATAAATTTAAATTACCCCAAAGGCTATCAATCCAGGTATGGTAAGGCCATAAATTGGGAAATATCGAATATGATAATAAATTTAAATTACCCCAAAG